CTTATGGGGCTGTCACGTGATGAACGAGTGACTCGGAAAACCCCGACGAGTCGAAACAGGTGAACTACTTGACTAACTCCAGTACAGGACCTATAGGATGTTGCGCATGCGCGACTGAACGAATCACTCCCCGAGACGACTCGTTCTTTCCGAGTCACATTAAAGATTCAAAATGAACGAATCGTTCAAGAACGACCCATCACTAATGAAGAGAGCAAGAGCGGCCAAGTTGAGGTTTCATGGTGATGAGATCCAGTTCAAGGTCAATACTGTGAAATACATGGGACACATAATCACACCAGAAGGCCTGCGACCTGACGAGGCAAAATACTCTTTGCAGCAAGGAAGTTTCTTCAGTACATATACGGCAAGGCAGTGACGGTGCAATCAAATCATAATCCCCTCGAGAACATCATGCAGAAACAGCTGTGCAAGGCTCCTGCATGATTGCAGCGAATGCTCCTACAACTACAAAAGTATGAATTGAACATTGCATATACACCAGGTAAGCACATGCATATTGCTGATACACTATGATGGTGGAGAAATGTGCGCTGTGCCAACAACTCCAGCCATGACAGCAAAAAGAGTCACTCATCACAAATTATGTTCCAGAACTACCATGGATGAAGGTTGGAGTGGATATCTTTGAGCTGAGATGTCAGTCTTATCTATTGTTGGTGGACTATTTGACAAAATATCTAGAGATACTCAACTTACCAGACAAATCAGCCCACACAGTAATACAAAAAATGAAATCGGTCTTTGCCAGGCATGGTATCCCGGAAGAATTAGTGAGTGACAATGTTCCATTTGCTAGTTACGAGATGACGGCATTTGCAGAATTATGTGACTTCAAGCTCACATACTCCAGTCCAGGATACCCTTAGTCTAATGGACTTGCGGAAAGAGCAATAAAGACTGTTAAACATGCATTAAAGAAAGCGATGCAAACTGCTACAGACCCACATCTAGTGCTACTGTCACTAAGAAATACACCAGTGACAGGCCTGAAGGAATCTCCTGCACAAATCCAACAGTCGACCCCAAAGCTTATACTGGCTGGTGGATTTGCAATCTCGAATGAGGCATCAGTACAACCGCAATGCCAAGACACTACCTGAGCTGGCTCCACAGTACATATGCAGACCAGATATGGATGGAAGCCTGCTGTGGTGGTGCACCATAGAGATGAGCCTCGGTCTTACATGGTGCAGACACCAGCAGGAGAAACAGACGCCACTTGAGAAAGATACATCAGAGTCTGTGCAACAGTGTTGACCCTGATGAACATTTGGAGGAAATATCCACTCAGACACCCAGACCAGCTGACCAATAATCTGAAAATTCTCCGGAGAGAATGGATGAGCATCCAGCACGCCATACTAGAAGTGGTAGAGCAGTAATACAGCCAAATAAATATAATGATTATGTTATGGACATGTAAAAAAAAAAAAAAAAAGTTGTCTGTAAAACCCACATCTAGTGCTACTGTCACTAAGAAATACACCAGTGACAGGCCTGAAGGAATCTCCTGCACAAATCCAACAGTCGACCCCAAAGCTTATACTGGCTGGTGGATTTGCAATCTCGAATGAGGCATCAGTACAACCGCAATGATAGCTAATGATTCTATTAATGATGACAAATAAAAAAGTTACATGAACTCTTTTAATGTTAAAATACTTTCTCGGCTTAATATGTAGCAACAAGTGAAAAAAAGCTATTTGTAAAACTGATTTCCTGAAAACTGTAAACACTGTTTCTGTAGTGCTATGACAATTATTTGGTTAGTTTTAAGATTGTCCCAACAGAGACAATAACATTGATTTGACCAGTGGTATGAATTGGGGGCGGGACTGGGTGTTGGTGTCATCGATGTAAAAATGAGTGGATTCTGAAAGTTGTGTACTTCAGCTTAATGTGAATACGAAATGTTAGAAAGCTTTTATTAGCAATTATAACTGTACTGAAAAATTATGTTATTTGTTACTATGTTTATCATTTGTAAGCCTTCAGCATTCCATCAAATAAAAACAAGGTTTCACTTTATTTTGATGGTCCCTTTAACACATTCTGTTGACTATAAATAACGTTGCACCTACATGTCTACTAACTCTCATTAGAGTGTTAGTAGAGTATTAGTAGACTGGTAGGGTTAGGGTTAGAATAAGTTGACATGTACTTGCAAAATTACTTATAGTCAGTAGAATGTCTGTTGGGAGACCATCACAATAAAGAGTTAGCAGATATTAAGCAGAAAGTCTTCTAATACTCTATTGTGAGTTAGTAGACATGTAGGTGCAACATTATATTTTGTCAACAGAATGTTCAAAAGGGACCATCAAAATAAAGTGTTACCCAGTTTTTTTTTCTTTACTTCAATTAATACAAGATTTCAAGCATGTTCATCTGATATATATAATCAGTATACATACTAATATATTTGATAT